TACAATATCATAGACAAGGTACATAGATAGATCTACATACAATCTATTTTTTCCCCCATGTTTGTCCTAGGGATCTATTATCATTTTTGTATCACATCCTGTCGTACCGACTTGGAAATGTTTTGTACCTCAGCGCTACTAGTGGTGGGAATTAAAATCAAAAATTATATACAATCATTAACTAAGGATAGAATAGATACCGAACATAAAATAGAACTCTGTGTCTCAGACTCTGGAATACCAACCAAGAAAAAAATCATTGGTTGGTCTACGATTTTTAAATTTTTACAGTTTTTCAACCATCTTTTTTTTTTAAAATAATATATGATTGAAATTTATTATTTATAATTTCTCTTTTCACTGTTTTCTTCGTATACATACATATATTTATGTGTTCAAAAAATTTTTTAATTTATATAATGATTGAAATTTATTATCTACAATGTTTTTACGGTCTTTTCGTATGAAAAATATCCAAAGAAAATTGTTTATTCCTTCTCCGCTTATTCATACATTTCACTCATTCGAATGCAAGTATTGCCTGTTTATCTATCAGTTGAACTGATTGGCATGCAGGTAAGCGTCCCCTTAATTCCTACTATAGTATTCTATGGGAATAGCACCGTAACTTACAATAAAGCAGCTTTAGGCTCTTTGCATCTCTCTTCAAATTTTACGTGAATACGTAAATAGGATTGTAGGACGGCACGTGGCCTTGCTGTCTTCAAAGCTCTATTACAGATGCTAAATTATTAAGATTTACCAGTGTTATAAAATAATGATAATAATGCATATTCACGTGCGCGAAAGTAACAGTTATTGCATAATGCTTTTATCACATGTATTTCCTTAATTTAGCAAATTATTTTTAAGAGAACATTTCTAAAAGAACATTAGAGAAAAAGAGAATACATTTCTCAAATAGTTAATAAATTTATAAATCATGCACTTTCTACGTTCTTGCGATGTTATAATCTTTAAATTGATTCATATAATTAATATAATTAAAATATAAACAATAAATCTTCATATACAGATTTCTTGTATCTTCAAATAACTTAAAAAGCCAAGTATCTTTAAATTTTTCACTCGAAAGTACATTTTTGTAACATTTCAAGGAAAAACATAGTTATCAGCCAATAGTTAGATCGTGGTCTATGGTAACAGCGAGTGCCATGACGCGCATCATGTGGAATGATTTTTCAAAATCGTGTAAGCCTTGAATCAATACGATGAGCATACTTTTGTCTATCTTATTGTACAAAAATTCACATGATCGTTAAAGGAGATAATCGAGAAATGAGGAAAGAGATGTTTACGTTGTTGATCTGGAATTTTCAAAATATGTTTCTTTAGACTTTAGATAACACTCGTCATTAGAAACCGATTGTTTAGAAACTGCTAATAACGCCATAAATAATAAAACAATAAATTATCCTTTTCCATAAAAATACTTACGATTACTACCCTCGAACATACGATAATAGAAGATAAAACACGCATTCTGAAAGAATAGCCTCCGAGAAAGATAAAACAAAATGTTACACTTTGAAATATATAAGATTAAAAAATATGTAAGATTAAAAAATGTTAATGCCTGAGATAAACAAAAAGAAAAGAAGAAGGAAATGCATCTGACTCAATGATTTTTAAAGCAAATATCATAAAGAAATTCGTCATTTTTGTATGCTCAACTTGATCAAAATTTTTTTATTGAACATCCGAAGTAATCGTTGCTCCATTAATCAATTCAATTCTTTAAATAATTGAATAACTTCTCTTTTTCTTACGAGAGAGAATTACTTATATCTTATAGATACAGCGCAAGCAGAATCTTTTTGAGATATTATATACAAGTTTTCGTAAAGATGTAATAATTCCTTTCAATTTCTGTTCTTATTTTCCGATTATCTCCCAAATTTTTGTTAATCCGCATATTCCAATGATTCTGATAATCGTGGTATAACGTCACGTCTGTGTTTATTCATTTTGCTATGTTTCCTAAGTAAGTCACCTCTCGTCGAATCGATGGAAATATTATTCATACAAATGGAACATCTATTATTCCATACAAATGGAACTGTACGTCCTTATACAAACGATATTTCTTCGATAGATACTTTACAAGGCTCGTTTCGTGGACAGAGACAAAGGATAACGAACAGACTGCGGATATCCATGCAAATTCACATCTTTACACACACATTCGGTATTCTTCAATTGCTAAATATTATACTCACGGCTCATTCTCTAACATTTCGGATGTTATTGACATTCTGTTTCGTATATTCCGTGTATTCTTCGCACGAAAGTCCGCAGTATCTTCGCCGAGATCCTCGAGTAAAATTTCTCGGAAAATTCGGGAAAAATCTGCGCGAAACCGATCTGCCACGATCGGAGTTTGTGCCTCCGATTGGATTGTTCTCCAGTGACGTTG